ATTGAACATCAGTCCTCCGCACTGCTCACAGGAGGGCCCGCCAAAAGCACGCGCGCCGCCCCGCTGCCGGGACGCCCCGGCACCGCTCCACGCCGACGCCTGAACCTAGAAAAGGGCTGGGAGCTTTTACAGAGCTGACACGTTCCTCCAGACCCAATAAATGAAACAGAAAAGCTCTCATCATTACTAGGAGGCTAGGCATCCCTCAGAAAGATGTATTTTAACAATTCTCTCAGCCATGGCGATTTGCTAAGTATTTGTCTTCTTACAATAGCTGCACATAAGCTTCACACGGAGCCAGAGGCACTTTTACCATTTGAAACAACCGCAAACAGACCTTGAACAACTTTCCCAACATGCATTTACACTCTGCTAAGAAAAACCTGGAAACAAATTTGTTTTACACAAACCTGGAGTAATCTTGAGACTAAAATGAAGAAGAAGAAGAAAAAAAAAAATCCCTCAAATCCTCCAGTTTTGGTCCTCAAAGAAAATTTAAGACTCTCTGGAGACATGTATCTCCATGACAAAGTCCCCGATGTCAGTCGCCGGAGGAGGCAGAAGCTGCCCGAGAGCCACAGCTGTGGTGAGCTGCGGGAATCGCAGAGCACTGAGATCAATGCCTTGCAGGCTGGAAGGAATCTGAGGCTTTCCCTCGGCCACCGACATCCTGCGGTCACAACCGGCAAGAATTAGGGTGTAAATTCGGACGCACGTTTCTGAAAAGCTGCCAGGGGATTGCGCTGTCCCAGTGACCATGTCCTGAGGCCAGTCATGGAGACCGGGAGCAAAGCCCGACCTGTTGCCTGGTCCCAGCAGAGGTACTGGCTGAGCTGACCACTTATCTCCTGATTTTGGTTGGCTGGAGGAACCATCAGACCGATTCAGCATTGCCTGGGGGTTGGCAGGGCCCTCTCCTCCCTTTCCAAGGACTGCCAGCCCTCGGAAGTCCTGGCAAAGTACCATTTCCAACACACTCTGAAAGCTTCAGGTCCAATTTACCAACCAACTGCACAGGAAACCATCCTGTACCAGACATTTTCACAGCTCCGAGACTGCGGCTAAGTGCCTCCAACTCAAGGGTTTCCTCTAGCATAATTTGCAATCCCAAGCATCACCAGGAAGCCCTGTGATAGATCAAGGTCAGGAGAGATGTGGGAGAGATTAGATATGTCTGTAAGTCACAGCTAACCAACTTTTATCTTCCTCAGCCCCAAGCATCCCTCATCCTGTGGGTTACAGAAACTCCTTCTTATGCCTACAGAGATCAAGAGACAGCAGCCAAGAGATGTGGCAGTGACAGGAACATGGAAGTCGAATGTCTTATTTGCTTCACTTTGAATTTGCTGCGGGTTTCCTTACAGAAAAGACTCCCAGCTTTTGAACTCTGATCAGTAAGTGAACGCTTGCCTGCAGGCCAGAGGGGCAGGCTTTGGGGAGCCTCGGGCTCTGCCCTGCCCAGCGCCGTGGCGGCCTAGGGAGCGCTGAAAAGCAGTAAGGGAAAGCAAAGTGGGGCATGAGACATTGAAGCAAATGTGGGTTCGTAAAGCAGATGCAGAACAGGCTTTTTTCAAATGCAAAGCGTTGGTGGCGGTGGAGTTGGGATCTGCTGGGCACGGCTGGCACAGCGAGAGCCAGACCCTGTCTGAAGGGGCAGCTGGGGCTCCAGAGGCAACGGGAAGAGACCGAGAAACGCCACTGCTGAAAAGGCTGAAAATGGATAAAAGGATTTGGTGCCTTGCCACAAACCACTGCCAGCATTTAGTATTTACAGCGGTCAGGTTTTGCTGTGGCAAAACATCCACATGTGGGGGCTCGTCTCGCCCGGGGCCGTGTTTGGTGCAACCGTGCCCGCTCACTGCGCCCTCTTCTCCACCCAAGCTGCATCTCCTCAAAGGAGAATCTACTGAAAGTCTTTCTGCTGCAATAAATATGAATTTGGAGAGAATTTAAACACGCATCCATAACCTCAAGACAGTGCTTCAAGGAGCAAGGTCGTTTGATTACTAACTCGTCTTGGTGTCCTTTAGCAGAGCTGCCTTTTCCCACACTTAACGTGGGAAGATGCTTCTCAACGCAACGCTCGGACAACAAGTGCTTTATGCCAAGGAGCCGAGAGCTGGAGCCCGAAATGCTCCCGGCAGCCCAGGCTCGCGCCGAGGCAGAGGCTCGGTGCTATGAAACGCTCCGCTGGGAGCAGGGCCGGAGCTCGCCGAGCTCGCTTGTCAAGGGCCTTCTCCCGTGAACCGCCCCGTTAACACAGACCTGCTCACACGTTAATCCGCGTTCAACAGCAAAGGTCACCACTGAAAGATAAACTCCCTTTCGATGAACTCTTGAGGAATTTCTAAGTGAGGATTCATTATGACGTTTGCCTTAGCGAGCGGCGCGTGACACTAACGAGGATGCGAAGGCCTGGCTGTGGGAGTGGAGCGGGCAGCTGGGTACAGCACAGCAAGTCAGATGCTGGAATCCCACCCAAATAAACTCATTTCAGGTGTGAGTGATGAAGGGAAAGAGGGAGGGAAAGGAGGAGTGTGAGCATTTTGACATTACTGTCCTACAAGGCAAGCTGGCATGGTACCGGGCTGACGGTGGTGACAAAGCCACGCTCTTAAGCACTACTTAAGTACTTCAGAGGGAACAAACCAGGTGAAATATGGACAGAGGTGTAAGACAGGCACCGCCTGGGGATCACTGGCCCCCCTCCAACCCTCGTGGACCCTTCAGTGACAACACTCTTCCCCCTCCTACAGCACCAAAGCCCAACGACTTCAACACCATCGTGGGGCGAGGACTGGCTCCTACAGCCTCTTCACTGTTAACTACTGTGGCTTTGGTTTTTATTTTTAACATATAACAAAGATGAGTATTTCAAAAATTAAAGAAAAAGGTGCAAAAGGTAGAGGAACTCCCGGCTGCCTTCCCAGCCACAGTGCACAGGCCAGAAAAACCTCGTCTGAAAGAAACCACCAAACGGTTTACTGGGCTCTCGTTTCGAGAAGAGGCAGGATACTGCAGGATGAGGTATTGTGCCCCGTTATTACACCCAGAAAGACATTTCGCACTTGAGGGAGCAACTAAGAGCAGAAGGGGGCTGGCCGGCGCTGCCCCAGCCTCTCCCCATCCGCAGGCAACCCCCGTGCTCGCCCAAGCGCCTCTTGGTCCGTATTAAACCAAGGCTCCCAGAGACCCGTGACACCGGGTCACCGCCTGCACCCCCTGGAGGGGGCTCCTCGGCCCTGGGCAACGCTTCCTGCGGGCCGGCGGCTCGGGCACGGCCGGAGGCAGGATCTGGCCGCGGGCAGGCGGCTTTCTGCTGGAGGCGCTCCCCAGAAACCGGACCCGCTCTCTCACACCACACCGGGATCACAGCGACATGTATAAAGCGAAAGAAAAGTCGGAAATGGCCCCCTGCAAACAGGCACGCTTTCTGCACGGGGTTACCGGGTTATTTTTGCACGAGGAGCAAACGAAGAGGCCGCCGGCCAGAGGCAGAAGCTGCCGGCACGAGGGCCGGGGAAGGCAGCGAGCGCTCTGCTGGGCAGGGCCTGCTCCCCCTCCGTACTCCTCGACTCCTAACGCAGCTCCTCGTCAGAAACTCGCTTCTAATCGCACACCAAAGGCTTTCCTACACCCGGTGCCGGTCACCTTTGGCACTTCGTTCCTCCGAGGGCCTCCTCGCTCCCGCCTCGTCCCACTGCCCCAGGGTGCCTTTCTGTACAAACAGGCTTCTCGACAACTTGTTGATCCAGCGCTCTAATTTCTGGATGACTCTCTCACCTACCATAAACAGCCACGCACAATTTGGCAGGCATTTCCACCATCAATGTTTATGATAATAACTACACGTGCTTGAAAGCAGCAGGAAATTTTCAATATAACTATCATTAAGACAAAATGCTTTAAATCAAAGCCATTACCCACTACCACCAAGACTCCAAGCTCACAAGATTAGGCTGTTTTTCTATCTTTATGAAAAATTCATATAACATGCTGCAAACATCATCTTCCAGCTCGAAGGAGTAAACGATATAATGACACTGAACGCTCCTGAGAGGGATGGAAGGGGGCAGGGGACGGGGGGCACGGGGCAGGGAGGTGCTGTCTGGCGGCAGCCTGCGGGCTGCGAGCCCACGGAGAACAGGCACCCCCGTCCCGTCGGCAGCAGCAAGCGGATGGTTATTTATCTGCAGACACCGCAGCCCGTCGTCCCTCTGCCCCCGGTGAGTTCAGCAGAGCTGCAAAGCAGGGTCCCAGGCAGCCCAGCTGGGACAGGGAACTCCACCACAGTCTGGAGGCGTTTCGGATTTACCGGTGGATTTTAAACCAAGATTTTCACGGAAGGAATATCACCTGTCAGCCAAGCGTCCCGGCCTGCCGTGCTGCCTCTGCAACGACCCAAGCACAGACGCCGCAGAGGACGATACAGAAAACCATGGTGAGCGGTGCAGGGAAGAGCTCGCCCGTCCTTGGGGATCCCATGTGTCCTGCAGCGTGAGCGCTAATGGCCACGTCGGAGCGTGCATGACTAACAGACCAGCAGTCACAGCGTGATGCTGGGCCTTTAAATAACCAGCCACAGTATGGACTGCGGAAAAACTTCAACACGGCATGCAAATCTTACATCATTAGTGCTCAGAGCCTTATAAATGTCATTAGCTAGCACTGCGCCCTTGTTACAGAGAGCTCGGCCAAAGCTAATTCTTTGTGCACTCACAGCTGAAGCTAATGGGAGCTTGTACCTCGCTTTTCAGGGGCGAGGATGTGATTTACCCAAGACTGGGTGTACAAATTAATGCCAGTCTGAAACAAGACGTTGGTGCTCCTGGTTCTCAGTTGCCTGTTCAGACTGCAAGAGTGCCCAGGCACAGGACTGAGCGTGAAATGCTCACATATTCAGGCTCTTTTTTTTTCTTCTATACCCGTCACCACGTACAGCTCCAGCTAGAGGCACAAACACGGTCGTTTGTGGTCAGGCTGAAGTATCAGAAGCATCGCTTTCTTGTACCTGCGCTTTTACATACAGTGTTGTTTTGTGTCAGAGACAGCACGCGGCACACCTCAAATTCAGATCAACGCTCAAACTCAAAACCGTCTCAGAAATAATGAGCTGGAAACACACAGATATTCTGGAGAGTAACAGCATACAAATAGCTCCTAACTAGCTGAGACAGAAAGTGGGAGACAAACCAGAAAAACAAATAACCCAGCATTACAATTAGAGATGCCATTTAGTACATCTCTCGCGGGGACCTGCGAGGCGCAGCGCTTCGCCCTGGCTCTTCCCAAGCAGACTTGAAAAGCAAACACCTCTCTGTAAGACGCCCGTGGCAGACAGAGCTCCTCCGCAAGTATTAAGAGCAGCAGATATTTTGCTTATGACAGCCGGTTCAGTCCTGACTCTGGAAAATCGACCCGCGAGCTTTATGCCTTCCCTGTCGCCCCCGACATGGCTCAGTAATGGGGAGCAGCCAGGCAGCCCCGGGTTACTGGCAGCAGTTGTCCCTCCCCTGCGGCTATATTGGCCCTGCAGGGAAAAAAATGAAATAAAACAAGTGTCAGGCTCATCAGTACAATAAGTGGTGATGAGGCCAAGAGACCCTGAGAGCAGCTATCTGCCGTAACAAGGTACTATTTGTACGTTGTTTTTTATCTGCAGTCACACTTTAAAAGGTTGTTCTGCCTCTGCAGCCCCTCTGGAAACGGCTTCACACATCAAAATATTGCAGGGCTAACGACAGAAAGCAGTGGGTGGTGAGCGGGTTCCCGGCTCGGCAATTACTGCTGGAAGTGAGCAGAGCGCGGGGAGGGGGCTCGGCCCCGTCCTCGCCGCTGCCAGCACCCAGGCCCTGCGTCGGTGCGATAACGGCCACGGGGATCGTGTGGCCACTGGTCCTGACGTGGCCCCAGCACCCTCCCTTCGCGGGGCAGCACGGATGCAAAAAGCAACTGCTAAGCCACCTCAGATGAGGAGAGAGCAAGAGCTCGGCGGTTTCTACAAGCTTGGGCAAGCTCGAAATTCAGCTGGTGCAGGTGTTTCCAAAACCCACCACTGTCCCTCTCGCGCACGCCGCAGGCACGTGAGCAGCACCTGCTTCTGCTAAACACGGCGGTTAACGCGTCCCGAGCACCAGCCACGCCTGGAAGCTGTCGACGTGCACCGATTTGCAGGAGAAAAGACAGAAAATTCAACACATTCCAAGCCCAGCTTTTCTAGGTCCTGCAGTTATGCAGCCGGACAAATAAACGCACTTTCTAGCCTGGCTGTGATTTTTTTTTGCGGATGATCAATATTTATTGCCTAATCACATTTCCATACTGCAAGTTAGCGGTGTCACTCTCGTGCCGGGCCGAGTGCTCCGTGGAGGCCACACAAAGCTTTGCCTGTAGAAGCTGCAATCAGGGAGCCAGCTCTTGTCACAGCCTTACAAAAGGATTTCCTCTCGAGCGGCTCATCTTTAATCATTATAAAAGCACAGAAGTTTAATCCATTTTTGATGTAAGCGCTAATAGCTTTGTGTCCTTGAAGTTCAAAGTGGTCTTCGTGCATGTCGCTAATTAGCCGAGCAAGCAGCCATTCAGCTCCCTCTCATGTTTCTAATTAGATCCTTAACAACAAACAAATGTCGACCTTACAAAGGCTGTGCTACGTTTCCCTCCATTAGTTAAACAGTTTGGGAGGGATGCAGTTCCCATTTGTCTGCATCCCACCCCCCAGCGCAGCGCTCCAAGGTGTCAGCCTGGGGGCACTCGGGTGCCTCTGCTGCCCGTTGGAGAGGTTCCTCCTTACCAAGGGTCTTTTCCAGGGGTGCTGGGCACCCCAGTGCCATGGGGAGGGGGCTGACCACCCCACGGCCCCCCCGTGCCCACCGGGCCGGCCATGGCCCGGCTCTGCGCTGCTCCACTGTCCCTCCCCACCAGCAAGGGATGCTCACCGGCCGCGCTGAGACAAGCAAATAAACCAGAGAGGTAAATAAACTGCCCCGTTAGTCATCTTCCTAACAGGTTTCGCTCTCAATTTAACTGGTTTTAATTTAAAATCTGGTGTGCTTTCATATTGACACACTTCGCACCAAATGCTCTGGACTGTTTTCCTCCACTTTTTTTTTTTTTTGGCACTCAATGTTTGTGACGTGCCGCACCGGAGCCATTTCTTGCTCGAGCCCTGGCTCTGCAACGGTGCAGGGCTGCACCGGGGCATCCTGCAGCCAGTGCTGCTCCCTCGGGCAACGCTGGGCTCGGGGAGGGGGGATAAAGGAAGAGATTTCTGCACCAGGGACCTGCGGCCGTGGCGTTTCTCTTGCACACAACTCGGAGGGCTGCGGATGCTCGCTGTTTCGCAGGATCTGACCCCAGCGCTGTACCTGCTGTCTGTGTCTGCACATTAAGCTTTAACACTTATTACCATCCACCCAACTGGCAAATAAGGGCTAAAGCTCGTGATGCTGTGCTAACGCAGACCTCTCTCTAATAATTTTTCTATTTAAAATGAAGGAAGAGCTGAGCCAGGCGACGCTGGCGCTTTCACCTCGCGCTGGGTAACACGAAAAGCTGTTGCTACTTCTACCATGGGCAACCACATCTGCATTAATTGTTTACCACAGCCCGGACAGGTCTTTTATTAATATTAATGAGTAACAGGGAACAAAAGGCCCCTTTATTTTTAGCCTACTCTAATTGCGTAGTAATTACTCATCTACAAAACAAATGAGCCGAACTCCATTGCCATAGCAACAGAAACTCCGGCCTCCCACTGTACCACATTAACTGGCTATCACTCCTGTTAATTTAAAATTGAAGCCTTTTGTACAATAACAGACAATACAGGAGGAAAATTAAAACAAAACCGTGTCTTTGTTTTGCTGCATATTTTAAGTTGCCGTAGCAGGAGGGCACTGCCCAGGGGACACCTTCCCGCTGCTGCTGGATCCCCGTGGGCTGGACGGATGCTCGGGAGCACAGGGGTGTTATCTGGGTAACGGAAGAGAAATCCAGCCCGCAAAACCCTTCCGTGCAATGATCCTCTCCTGCAGGAGAGTCTGCCCAGGCGCTGCACAGGGAGAGGTGCTGGGCCCTCCGAGGTCACGGCCGAGCAAGGTGGAGTGAGGGGTCCTCCACGGCACGCGTGGCCGGTAGTAACACCCCCCTCGGGAAAGCCTGAGCTCCTCGGTGAGGGAACACCGAGGGAAGCTGCTGCCCAGCGGACGGGGTCTGAGGGAGAGCTGGGGGCACCAGCTCCGCTGTCAGCTAATAGCCAGCCCTCGGCAGGGGAGGATTTGGGCACGGACACATGAGAGTCCTCATGGCACAAAGCTCTGGTCTCTCAACTATCAGGAAATACCCTCAAAAAGACCCAGCCATGTGAGTTTATTATGGTGAAACAGCTCAAGTTTATATACCTGCAGACCAATTTTGCATTCTCTGGCAACTACTAATCCACCACGCTCCTCAAGCTAATCCAGAGCCAGATGCATGCTAACATCTGCTGCAAGGAAAAACTCCACTGCTTCTTTTTCAGTTTTCTATTTCAGAAAGGAGAGAGAGAGAGAGAAAAAAAAAAAAGTAACTGTAATTATGTATTTACTTTTAGAGCACTTGGGGAGAGAATCAGCATGGAAATACTCACAATAGTATGTCAGCACAATGTGCGCTGTGTCCCATTTAGTAGTAGTTCCACTAACGGGTAACAGCCTCGACTGCTGCCAGGCAGCAAGTTACCCCTCGGCTCAGTGAGTCCCTCGCGCGTTCGGCGATTAAACCGCGCGAGACGTGCTGCGGCGCTCGCGCATCGCCGGAGAGCCCAGGCCGAAGGCCCCGCTTCAAACTTTGCAACAACCTGTCTGCACCGCGCGTGGAACAAAGCCAAGAGCTCCGTCCCGCGGGGAGAGGGGAAACCAAACCCGGAGGACGGGCTCTTGCAGGGGCTCGGGGGCCGGAGCGCGGCTGCCCGGCGGTCAGCCTGCCCGTGGCACCAGGCAGCAGCCGCACCGGGACGCCGGGTCCCGCTCTGCCGAGGAGGGTTTTCCCATGGAAAACAATTCTCCTGATTGAAAAGACTATTAAAAGTTAGCCGCTAAATTCGTTAAAGATTAGCTTCCACTGTACTTAAGCCTGCACTTCAGGGGTGGTCACTAATTGCACTGCAGATGATTTATCAAGTGCACAGGATTTCCTATTACAAAATTATTGATTAAAGCTGATGTATTTGAACCACGGTAGACTTCAGCCAGGAGCCCTGTAAAATGACCGCTGCTGTGGTCGAGGCCTAAGAGCAGCAGAACCGAACTGTTTTAGATCTACGACATTTTCTACTTGGCACTGCAGGAAGCTGACTCCCTCCTGGATCAAAAAAACCCCCAAAAGTGGCATCCTACAGCCATGTAAGACAAGACATTTTTGTGTGTAGCCTGCATTCTGGAAAGGACTTGCGTGATTCCCAGCCTGGACCAGCGCAGCGCTTCTGAACTGAAGGAGAAATGACTCCCCTCTCATTTTTTATTTTTTTTTTTTAATTTTAGGGTAGCAGTCAGAAAAGTATCTGCAGCGCTCACAAAAGGGGAAGAAGATATTGCCAAGTCATGAGGGCAAAACCACCCACAGGAAGGCGGAGTGGCCTCCCCCGGAGCCGCGCGGCGTGTTTACGGCCCAGGTGCTCCCCGCAGAGCCCGGCTGCTCTGCTTTCTGCTCAGCGCGTGACATCTGTCTCTGCAGCCAGCCCTCCCCGTGACACCCCGCATGGCACGGGGTCCCGCTGCCTCACCCTCCCTGCCGGGCCACCCGCAACGCTCTCCAGCGCCGGCTGCCTCTGCTGTGAAGATAAGCAAAAGATAAAATCTGATGCAGCCATTAATTTTCCGGCGCGTCAGCCGCTGGGCTCTGTCACATAATTACCGGCGGTTCCAGCAGAGTGAGAAATTTCAGCCCGCTTGCTGCTCCCAAGTGGTCCACTTGTTAGGTTCTGGCTTTTGAGATTACATAGCTCGGATTAAACTTTATGTACTTTTATAGAGTAGAATAAAAGACGGAGAGCAGTTCCATCAGAGCTGCCGTGCCACATGGGAGTCCTCTCAATGGGCCGTATAAATCCCAAATTGGTTCATCGCTGGATCCTTGAAAGGCTCCTCCTTACGACATTTCTGTGAGCCGGCGGTGGCTCCTCTCCCTCCGCACACACAGACCAACCATTGTCCCACTTTTTATGGCCGTAATTTGCCAACGCTATGGGTGCCTAATGACAAGATTAAATTTTTAGAGCACCTTCTTTAAGTGTAAGACAAGGCTTCCTAAACCCCATGCAATTTGTCGCTCTGCTGACTTTTAGATACACTCCTCACTTCATCATATGCCTGGCGCATTAAACAGTGGGTCCCCCCGTCTTCCTGGCAGATTGAGATCTAAGGGGGAAATGATTCTCCCCCTTGATGCACGAGCGCTTCAGCTCCCCCGCAGCAATAAGGAAAGCAATGGGGGTGGCTCAGATTGCCTTGCGCAGGCTTACATTGCGTCAGCCCCATCCGAGCGGTTGTTTGCTTGATTTACTTTATGTTCTATTAGAGGTAAGGAGCGGATACAAATCCTTAATTACATTTTGAAAGCCCATTCTGGATATTTTATTTCCTCTGAAAGCGCTTGCTGGAGTAAGTGCACTAACGGCTGCCTTGACTATCCCCAGCGGAGCAGAAGATGCTCCAGCTCAGCACATCTGGTTTGTGGGGAGGGCCGGGGGTGCGGGGAGGAGGGAAGGTGTGACCGTGCCATACACTATCTTTTCTACTCCCAGCAGGATGTTTTCTGACAAGCACCAAACTAAACAGATAAACAAAAGCCTAATTCGGGATCTCAATTACCATCTGTTAAATTTACTGACTGCAGCTTCATCTGTGACAGAATTTTAAAAGTTTAGCACAGAAACTTGGGCACAAGAAGCAAAGACACTTGCTGGCTCAACGGCAAAGACGACGAACTTGCCTTGACCTCCTCATGCTGGTATTTATGAAATGTTAAATCTTCATTTAAAAATGCTCCCTTAAGCTGGGTGACATGGCAATGAGTACGACCCACCACTAGCTCAGCGCCTCTGTTGCGTAACAAGATTTAAGGTTTATGACCTAAAAAACAATTGCTTTGTGTCTCAGGACGGTCTGCGGGAAGCTGCTTCACACACATGGTATTATTTTGATACCCAAATGGAGTGATTTGCGTTTGGCACATCTGGTCTACGACTGCCAACAAATGAGTCTATGGGCTAATATGGACGAGTAACAGGCTGATGAAGAAACCATGATTGTAAAATGATTTAAAAAATATCTCAAGTTCTTTTTAATACAAAATAAAAATAAGAGAACATAGTTATAGTGAGCATTTTAATTCCTAGGGGGTTTAATTTGAGGAAAAAATGAAATTGCAAATTTACTATCAGCATAACAGCATGTGCGGGTTCTTGTACAGAGGGTGTAGGTTGCCTACAGCCAGCTTCAATTTAAACTTCCAGATAATGGGATTTAACAAATGCGGTACTATGGATCCAAGCCGTTAGCAGCTCTCTGCTGTATCGATAGCCCTACGCTTTCAATCAGACCAAGGCTCTGCTTTTAACTGCCACGCTAGTTCACGTTGATGATACCTATAATATCAACTCAACAATGCATGTTCTACAACTACATCTACTGCTACCAGTACGACTACTACAGTGCATGCATTTAGTTCAGTCCCACAGATACATACACTCTAAGAACAGGCAAGGGGAGATGTGAAATGTTTTACGGGACGACAGGTGTTTTGTTTTTTAAGTAAGGGAAATTAATAAAAACATCAAAAGAAAGAAAGTGTACAAAAAAATAGAGACATTTCTCAAGAGTTGATATGAGTCGTTTCTTGAACCGTTTCGTCCGAACAAGCAAAAAACATGCAACCAGCTGCTACTAACAAGAAGCTGGACACTGAGAGAGGATTAATAGGTGTGGACAAACCTTCCCGCTGAGAGCGCTCAGAAGAGTGTTTGAGAGGAGGTGTGCACGTCCGAGTGTAAGAGAGGCCGGAAAGTATGCCTCAGAGACACCCTCTCTCACAGCAGCCCCAACCAAGCAAGAGAGAAAACAACAAAACATAACTGCTCACACTCACCATCAAGGTCAGTAGCTCACGTTACGAGATTTGTTATAGCTGGCAAGTATAAAGTACAGTAAGGGGTTGTCGGGGCGCAGGGCTCAAAGGCAGCACTGGCAAGCCGGGGCTGGCGCCCAAAATCCAGATGTGCCGGGGTCGGGGTGGGGGGGAGCAGCTCCTGGCGCCGCGGCACC